AGACTAGTAGGCATCCAACATTAGTAAACAAACGCAGTCCATTATAAAATATTCGTACAATATTAAAAGATTGTCTAACTATGATGATGTTTATTAATAGATTTTCGTTCGTATCTGAAGATATTTAATGAATAAATGGCTTGAAATGTTGGCAGTTTCTTCTTTGACAAGTTGCTAGGAAAGTAACATGGACGACTTTCCATGGCCAATATAGTCAATTGCCTGGGCTTCTATTTCAGCTTTTCTGTTTTTTCTTCTAGCCATTTCTTTGGCTGTTGCTGCGACATATTTTTTAGTTTCCATCCACACTGACACTGCCCTTTCAAGGGTCGTTGGGCTGTCCCAATCCAGAATGCATCAACACGTATCTCGCTTTTATTATTTTTAATAATATTAAATTTAATTTTGTACTTTTATGATAGGAACGGAAAAGATGGTAGTTTCATTTTGGAGCTTCCAGCCTTTTCTGAATTATACGACGTCATTGGCATGTCACTTTCAAATGGACCAAAATCTAAACCTGTTTGACATTAAGGCTTGCTTCATTGATAAGGTTTTGTTTTTCCTTTTATTATTAAGTTATATGTACAGGTAAAATTATTGAATCATTTAATTTAATAAGTATATGTATTTTCCAATACAAAATTAAAGAAAAAAAAATCGAGGCCAGACTAATAGGAAAACGATGTGAATATAGTTGTAACTTTTTAGCTAACGAGGGGCCCATAGCTCATATGGACCCTTCGGCTTCTGGTAGGAGAGGAAAAGAACGTCTATAAATAAAGCCCACTACCCCAAAGATTAGCCTCCATTGCTGTTTTAAGGCAAATTCAATAGGTTAGATTAGAATTCTTCTCTCTTTTATTTTTCTGTGTAGAACTTCAATAGGTTGGGGACATACCCTTCTCTCTCTTCTTTTTGTTGATTTTTAATCTTTACAATTTTATAAATAAATTTATCGAAATCTTAGTGTCACTGATCTAAAATATTAAATAATGTCGGTGAAAATGAAAGTTGAGATCAATATTACATTTTATCTAAAGGCATGGTAGTTCATTAATCTTCCATTGCTGCCATAAGGCTAGCTAAAGTTAAGATCAAATGTATACTTCTCTTCTGTTTTTGTTGATTTCCCAAGTCATTCCAACTATATTTTGTTGGTTTTTATTTTTACAGTTCATATGACATTGAGTTTGATTGAAATTATATAATGCAATAATATATTTATTTATTTATTTATTCTCTATGCTGTCAAGAGCCAGAAATGGAAGACTCATGTGAGAGTTCATTGTTTTTCCAGATAAACACTAAACAAAGCCTTCATTCTTTTAAAAGAAAATAATCATGAAAATATCTGTTTAAAACCCTTTAACTGTACTCTCTCGCTTCCTTAAATTTGATGCATAAATAATAAGAAATTAAGAACAAATTATTTCATTAAAAAAGGCTTAAAACCCCCCACTTATGTAATAATGTATATATAGTAACTAAAATTATAAGAGAAATTTATTCAGGGGCAAGAAATATACATTTTTTGAGCTTTGGAAAGAACTAATTAGCAATTTCCAACAAATGTTTCTAAAGGTACAAAAATCAGGTGTAGTTGTTTGCTCTCTGAAGTATATCATGAAAATAAGTAATAAAGTTATAACTATAGAATTTCTGGGTTCTGGCTTGGCATCAAATGCAAAACAGAATGAACCCCAATACATGTTTAATCACTATCTTGAGAACACAAGCAGTATTGCAGTCGAGATTGTTAATACTATGGGATAAAATCCATACCAACCGGCAGCTCGAATATCCTGCAAAAGTGCATATAAAAATAAGATTAAATAGGACAAAGAAACTATAATATCAATCAATAGGCAAACTCCTCAAATGATATGCATAAGCACTAAATACAATTCCAGCATCTTTCACTTTTCCCGTGCTGTTTAAGTCAAAAATTACAATTGCAAGTTACCACAAACAAGTGACTCACTAAACCACATATTTTGCTATGTTCAGGACTCCATTTTGTCAAGTTAAGCCAGAACAACACCTTTTTATTCCCTCATTAACAAAGAAAGCAGATATATGCATAACAATTGAAGGGAGATCTTGTTCCAAACTAAATAACCTAACAAATAAAGCCACCAAAAAACTACCTTTCTTGCCTATTAATCAAATTGTATATGTTGGTTCTGGGAACGAACAAATATTGGAATTCAATGGAAGAAATTTTATCTTCATCATTTTAATTCTTTTTCACCTTATTTTTCCTTCCCTTGGAACTATTATTGAACTTGCTGCACTAGGGATGAGGTGAGTTGGGAAGGGCCATGATTTGGCAATAAGGTCAATTCTAAATTAACAGGTTTCTGATAGGCTGAGTTCTCATTTCAACCTTCCAACTGTACAGGGAAAATAAGCTAACCAATAGTGGCTTATGATCCTAATTGGTACCTATCCTCTTTGTGTACAACCAAACTCAAACCAGCATTGTCCCTTTAGCTGTTTCCAATAATTTATTTTACTCACCAATTGGGGATTGTTTTTCATGCTATTAAGAAACTGATCCCACAAGGTAACAAGTATGAATACAGAATTAGTAAGTTAGAGATTCTGTAGAACATATGGCATCCAAACAAGATTCTTCTTCTTGAAAGAAGTGCTTCCCATGTAACATTGGTGCAAAAATGATGTGTAGATCTGGGAAGATCTTTTCGTTGTACTTGATTAAAGTCCTTGTGCATTGTAAACAGAGATCAAGGTACATACTTGGTGAAGTAAATTAAGTGCAAAGGCAATTTGATAGCTTAACTCAAGAAGAAACCTTTAATCATTTTTGAAATCAAATCTCAGCCAGTGGTAATGATTAACAAGTTGTGCACGATGATGGATTAACCTTTTCCAAGGCATATAGGAGCACATTCAGCTTTACTGGTTTTAGAAACAGTTAGGCTGCACTGGTTTGGCAGGGGATACTAGCGTTCCTGCTGCCATATTGCCTTTTGTGCTTACTTGGGATCCTTCCAGGATCATATGTACATTACTTATTTTTAATCCACTAGCGGGTACTCAGAATGAAAACTGGCAAATTGTAGAAGCCTTGCATGACATGGTAGGAAGCTAAACTTAACAAGGAGGACCTTATCCAATCTTTCAACTGCATTCCTGTCCCTTTTTATGATTCCTTACTCAATAGTTCATATATGTTAGAGAGACTTCCTTTCATACAGGATGCAGAGAGGAAACAATATAGAGAATCACTACCTAAGAATTTTAGACATAGAAATTAGGGTTTTATATATGGGCTTCTTTATATGTTTATGACTTGCAACTATAAAAACTTACTACTGTGGTTTTTGACAGTAGACTTGATTATTGGAATATGAAATTAAAAAATCTATCTACTTTCATTCTTGTTCATCTATCTCTCTTTATTTTCTCTCTTTTCTCTCCTCTATCCTCTCTATGTTCTTTCTCTTCAAGCTGCATTAGGAAGTTGAAGGAAATTTGTCATTCAAACTAATAAATAATTGGACTTGGGTGTTTTCAGACATAGATAAGGCATTTACATAAAAAATTCTACAGCAACCACTAATTAATGGTTCAAGAACATGATGAGAAGACCATCAAAGGGGTGCACAAAAAGGCAGTATGATTCTATGCAATGCAATCAAGAAAGTATAGACATGTTGGGAATGAGTGAAATAGTATTTGGGGCAAGTTATTAAGTACAGACTTGTAAACGAAGCACATTGTTAATGAGAAGATAAATAAGACTTGTAAAGCAGTTGGGTCAGCAGCATCACATATTGTGATATTGATAAACTATATGACAATTCTAAGCCTCTTCCATTAACATGATGAAATTGTTATTGCAGTCTGTCTTTCTTTTTATTAATAGACATTAAAATCCTAATGCTTTCACTATATCTAAATTGTAATATTAGAATTGTCTAGATACCACTGCTATGTACCCACCCATTTTTGCTCCAATGTAATTTCATCAAGTGGAAATCAAAGAAGAGAAAACAAAATAATTAGCACACCAAGAACATGACAAATTGACAATGTTCTAAGAATATGCTTCTTCTGTCAGAGAATACTCAAATCTGATCTGCAAAAAGTTTACATATCTGAGATGACATATGTCAAGGGTGGACAAAAGCTTCATACCTTCAAAGATGAAAGTGATGAATCTGCAGATGAAGATTTAAGTCCATGAAACCCGATATCATACGAGATGCTCCCATCAGGTTTAAACAGTCCAAAATTCCTCTCAGAGGTCGGCCCAGGCTTCAAATTTTCATTAAAGATCGCAAAAACATATGCCTTAACCACATTTTTTGGCCTGAGCGGAGTTCCTTTCTTCTTTGCAAGCCTTTTTCGCAAATTGTAATTGTATGTCCTTGCATTACTTGCTGTTGCCGCAGATTCATTCTCATCTCCATGTGAAGCCCATCCTGTCTCTGTGATGATAACTTCCATCTTTTTAAACCCAGCATCTTCTAATGCAGCATAGGCTGCATCAATCTGAGCATCAAGCAGGTTATCATAATGCAACTTAGTTTTCGGATCATCTGCTCCCTGAGTTGGTTGGAAGAGAGCATAATTAATATCAATATGCTCTGGATTATACATGTAGGCGAGAAAAGGGTAAGCATTTAAACAGAAAGGGGAGCCAATTTGTGAGAAAAACTCTAAGAGTGGGTTCATGTACTGAACAACATTATCCCGGAATACACATGATGAGGGAGGGAAGGAATCAGCAAAAACAGCCTGTGAATGCGCCGTGGTAATCTGAACAACATCACTCAACTTAAGCTTATTTACTGCATTGTAAACATTCTTAACAGCACCCAGAAGAAACCCAGAAAATTCATCACTCCCTCCTAAGACTTCATTCCCAATAGCGATCCCACGAATATGTGTATCAGGAAGATATGCCAGCACATTGTCCTTGACCCAATTCATTGCATGATCTGCATTGGCACTAATGTCTCTCAGATTTTCATTTGGAAGTCCAACCACAATTTCCAAACCTGTTCCACTAAATGCTTTGAGGACACTGTGATCAGCATCATAAATTCGAACATTCTTTATTTTTGCTGCCCTAAGAAGTGTGGCAACTTCATCAGGTGAAGGGATGTTATTTGCAATTCTTCCATAATTAATGCCATATGTTCCAGTGAATGCTTCCACAGTCACAGATGCTGGAGAAAAGAGAAAAATATTTTTGGATTACTGTCAGTTTATTTCTAAGCACCATGTAATAAACAGGAAGACAATTATAATAACAATGATATTCACTTGTCAACCCAGACAGAAGAGAGTGCACATTTTAAATTTTTTAGACTTGGATAACTATTATGGTCAACATTTTGGTAGGGAAAGAAAACTAAGGCTGTTTTTCCCCTGATTTTTGGCAAACGCATCTCACTTCCTATGAATTCTACAATAATATAGTACATCTTTTGTGGATCACTAAAACAAATCAAATTCTTTATGTTTTATTGGTAAGATTTCCGGTATTAAGATGTCCATTATAAATTGTGAGAAACAATAATGAGCACCAATTGCACTAAATAATATATAAGCAAGTTCTCGAAATAAAAGAAGGGTGAAAAGAAAAAAACTATACACACACGCATACACACATTGCACAAACCAGAAGCCAAACAGAAATGAGCATTAAAATAAGAAAGAAATTTTTTTCAAATGTATTCTAATACGGTATGAGTGAATCAGTAGCTATCACTAAGAAAAAGAGTGAGAAAGGCTGGTATGGAGACAAAGTTGGGGAAAGTTCACTTGAGGGTGGTTATCAGATATGGTTTTTATGTTATTTGTATTTCTTCAATTACTATTATATCATTTTTTATATACTTATATTGTATGGTTTGTAATCAAAACTGTGAAAGGACTTTTGTGGCATAAAGTTAGCAAATTTCAACCTTCAAAAAAGCTTAAGGTTTGTTTAACTAATAGAAGATATATACATCTCTATACACACACACACAGAGAAATCATCCCAAAAATCAAACAAATAATTTAGCACGGAAAGCAAACGAATGCAATTAACAATTGAACACTAACACATAAAAGAAAGGTTATACATTAGTAAAACCATCCCTATGGATGAAGCTATAATAAAAAAGAACTCTCATACTTTGGCGAAACTTTAATCAAACATATCCACCAAACTGAGTTCTTATATAATCCACCGAGCCTTACAAGAGAATAATAGGATTCAAATCCCAAATCCAACTAAAAAACATAGCAATTGAAGTACAAGTGCAGCAGCGGAAAAGAGCCTTCCTTTCATTCAAGAAAAAAAAAGGACTTAATTAATCATGATATAAAAGAAACATTAAATTTAATGAAATTTAAAAAAAAAAGACAAATTTTCACACAAAAGGGTAGTTTCTCAGTTGACTACATCTTTTTATTATGAAACATTCACCATAGCTTACAATTATCAATATAAAAGGAATATCCCAACAAAATTCATCAGTAAGCAACCAAGACCCAAATTTTAAAACAAGGTGAACTTTCAGTAGAAAAGGCAATATACACTGTTCCAAATGATTAAACTCAACAAATCTGAGATCAACCCAATTTAGGCAACAAAAAAGAAAAACCGAACAAACAAATGCAACTATAAACCTTCAAAAACAAAAGTACAGGAGAAAGTACCAATTGGAGCAAGAAAGACCAAGAAGAATAGATGAGCCCCAAAACTTTTCATTGGCTTTTTTCTTCTTCAAGGAATAATCAAAGGATCCAACTTTTGCAAACGATCCTTACAAGGGGAAGGGGAAGACAAAACAATACCAAAACGGAAAATTGAACTAACTCCTTCAATGCAGTGCTCCTTGTAACTCTGGCATGCCATAACACACCAAAGATTCTCCCTTTATAGTTCACTTTCTCTCTTTACATCACACTCTGTCCATGCCTTTGTTTTTGACTCTCATAATCTTAGCTTCTTTGTTTTCTTCAACTATAATCTGGGTAAATCTGGGAATAGAAAACAGTGAAGTGATTCTAAGACAGAGAACAAAAGGTTTGTTTTTGGCGGTCGTTTTCTGTAGGACTCCTGCTGAGAGAGGGGTTTCGGCCTTGGGCTTTTGATTGTATTGAACCAATGAAGTCCTAGTACTTCTCTTTTAAAAACTTAGTCGTGTGGTTGTTTTATACATATATATGAAAAAAAAAACCTTGGGTTTTAGTGTTAAATTTGTTGGCTTGCTTTGATTTGTAGCCATTGGTCAATGCTAACTTGCCAATTTGGAAGTGTTGAACTTGGGTTTTTACCCACTCGCTAAATCTAAAACTGTTTCCACGCGCCATAAGTGGCATGAACTAAAAGCTTTTATTATTATTATTATTATTATTATTATTAGAAGTGGTAAAATGAATCTAAATTCAAAAACATATTTGAAAAAAAATTGAATTTGAATGTGATCAAACTCGGATTGGTAAAAATTCAATAATCCAAGTTCAAAGAAATGTGAATTTGATATGATATGAAACTTGAAATAATAAAAATTTAAGATCAATCTAAATCTTTAATACTAAAAATATAAAATTAATTAATTTCATTCTAATTTAAATTTAAAAATAATTTGAACTTAAAAAAATTTAAATTTAAAATGACTTGAACCTTTTCATGACTCAAATTCGAAATGATTTCATCTATGCTTGGCCATTTGTTATATCTAGTTATTAGGTAATGATATGGTTATCAAGTGAACTATTGATATACCCATGTGTCTACTAGCACAAGTCGAGAACAACTAAGATCTATTTTTACCATCCTTAATTGTATCAAAAATTTTAAAATCTCATTTGTTACCTTCATGATATTTTTATTTTTATTTTTTAGTAAAAAATAATAGATAAATAATTAAAGCAATTAAAAAGAATTTTAAAAATTCCAACCACTTTGTTCATCATTTAAAAAGTTGAGATGAAACTTTATAGTTTCTTTTTTTTTGTTTGTATTATATATATATATATTACTATTATTGGTTTCGGTTAGTTCCAACTTCCTAGAATCTTATTAGAAAGTGCAAAATATATTTTATGCTAAAATTTTATGGACAAAAGAAACATAGAACCGATTGTAATAAAAAATTGTTAATTGCTAAACCACCAAGACATGTTTTACTAAAGATATAATGAGACTAAAAATGGGTTTCCCTTGTTACGAAGCCAGCCCACCAAGGGACCGTCTTTTTTCTAGTTTTTACAATCCCTTTTGTGGGTGTCCTTTTTTCCAACTGCCCCAGCTCGCATGCATTGCGATGCTAGCGCAAACGCGGAAAGGAATTTTAAGGCTTTGAATCCTCAGGGAATTTCCTGCCAACCGACCACGGAAGCGCGTGCTGAGTGGGAGAATCCTTTAATTGTGTTTTGAAACGCATGGACCACCTTCTTTGGTATTTGTCTTGGCTCACGAGAGAAGAGATGGGAGCAATTTGTACAAAAGTGGTTTCCAATATTTGCAAATTCTGTTCAATTCCCTCAAAGATTCCAATTTGATAATGTGTGTAGGCCAATGCCACCTAACCAATCATTTGATTGGCAATGTTCAAGCGTATTCAACTTCCCTCCACTTCTTATATTTTATCACCTGTTGGTCAGTATTTAAGAGAGAATAATCAATTTAGCAGGATTACTAATAAATAATTTTTTTTAATGAAGAGGGTAGTTTCAAATTTTATTTTTTAATCACATATATATTTATCTCTTAGTACGTGGAAATGTCAAATAAAAAAATTAATTATTTCATTAATTTACACTTCTTTTAAATATTGAATAACTACCACTAAATCACTGGAATGGACACGAAAATAAGAATGATATACTTAATGAGGAAAATGTCTGGTCCTAATTTGAGAAAAGGTGGCTACCAAGTGGACTTTTATTATGATTTCCTAGCGAATCTGAGAGCTAAAGGGTAACTAGAAAGTGTCGTCATCAAATTGTCCTCGGTGCTCCCAACCTCCTTCTCACCCCGGCCCCCCTCCCAAAGGAAAAACCTTGTCGTGAATAATTAGATTATGAAAAATTTGTAATTTTTTCTTCATCTGTTTTCTTTTAATGGAGCAATTTACTCTTTTTTGGAGAAATATTATTTTGTTGCAATTATTTATTCATAAATGGTACAAATTTAATAAATAATAATTTTATGAACATTTTATTTTTCATTTTGATTATCGAATTTTTTAACAAGTGCCCTTGAGTCCCTTTTGGAGTTGCTTAACTAAGTTAACAACTCCAAAAGGAACAACCTACCACTTGTTAATTTGGGTTATCAAAGTGGGGTAAATCAGAGCACCTAAAGAAGGTGCTCACCTAAATCAAAGTGGGGTAAACAGCAGACACTTTTCTCTTTTTATTATGAATCTTTACAAATATTTGACGCATTAAATATCTATTAAATAATATGATGTCAAAACAAAATTTGAAAAGGGATGAATGAAATGAAGTTATGTTTTAACATTAAAACATTTAATTTATTAATTAATATATAATTTCTTTTAAAAGAAATAAAAGTGAAATTCTCTTCTTCCAAATATAAGAAAAACGAAACTATTTTTCCGCGTGTGGATTGTTGAACTTGAACGCGTGGGGGATATCAAACAGCAACTCATCGCAGTGGCTGACAAATATAGACCAAGTTTGGGCGGTTGGGGCGGCTGCTCGGAGATCCCGCTTGACAGTAACTGGCAGCTACCATTTTGCTTTTTCACACACTGTGCTGATTTCGAATCTAAGTATGTCTGATTTAAAATAATTATATAATCAATGAATTTTAATTATATTTCGCGTTTGAAATTAAAGAAGATCAAGTAATGGTTAAGTTTGAAAATTGTTGCTACTCTTTAATTACGTTTAATTTAATACCTACATAAAGGATGCGATGAGGAATACTGTACTGTCACTGGCTTAACCCCCAGCAAAAAAATGTTTGATGCTTACGTTTTGAAAAAGAACTGAAAGTTATTGTGACCTTGTCCGCTTTCCATCATTACCTTAACTAGCAAGAAACAAAGACATTTGGTTATGACTACTTTTCTTCGAATTATTTTATGTCCTGCTACTTCACTTGATACTGCAGCTCAGCTGAGAATGCCAATCAATGCTTTGACGAAGGAAGCAAATGGTGATCATAACTTAAGAGACAATTGTCTTGTCTTCGAAGCTTGAACTAACATTTTGTTTGTAACTTAGGAAAGAAAAGTGAAGCCTTTCAAATAATTAAAGATGTAAGTAATGGTGCCTTACTCCTTAATTAGGTGCAAACCGAATTAGAAGTCAATTTGATTCCGTACTTAAAAGCAAGTTCAATCCAAAAAGAAATTTTAGGGAGGCACCCGCTGGAGTTCAATGAAACTTTAATGACAGGACAAGGGCTCCGAAGGTGGAAATACTTTTGGGTGTGGGAATAGGAAAAGCACTGAAGTTTAGAAAGTGAAAACCGTGGGGGACCTTTATTGAAGTTTAAGTTAATTACTTTGATTAGAAGCTAAATAAATGTTGGGTGTGTATGATTTAATAGTTCGTACGTGGCTTTTAAAAAAAAAAAAACAAACCTGACATAACAAGAGTTGCCTTTAGAGCTGGCTTTGAAGGGATATAGCATTTGGTTATGGAGGAACTGATAGCTTTTGTCAAGCCAAATGAAATGATCCACGTAAGGGAATCTACTTTTCCTTCTCTCGTTTGACGAGTGGGTAAAGATAAGGAAAGTGGTGAGCTTCATCACTCGGAAAGCTTCAGGATTTCCTTTCTATTTCTTTAGTGGGCCGTGTTTTTTTTTTTAAATTTTCCTCCCTTCTTGTATCTAGAAAAATGCTCTGTGTTTTCACTGCATTCCCCTCTGCTAGGTCACAGGCCTTTTGGTTGTCTTAAGATTTGCATGTGTACTTCTTTGTATGGAACGAAGCAACTCATTAATTATTTTTCCATACAACTCAGTGTGTGACATTGCCAGAAACACCCTTTATCAACTGAGAAACAAAAAATGCATTTAGAAACTCTAGAGTTGATTTTTTTTTTTTTGGGTTTCAAATGCTTTAACTTCTATTTTCATCTGGAAATTCAAATTCATTTATTGTAAAAATAACATGATAATAAAAAAATTCATTCAAAATATTCACAACCTTATTTCATTTTCACCCAAATCACTCATTTTATATTTAAATATTCCCATATTCTCTTTTAGTTTAATGATATTCTTTAACTTTATATGTGATTGGTCAAGTACAAAAGTCTTATCTTAGTTTGATTGAAATCTGATATCTTAGTGTTGCTGGAATTAAAATCTAGCTCAACAAGGTATGTTAGTCTAACTAAAATTAAAATATTCCAATTTAAGTAGAATTCAAAACTATCACAACACCCTCCAAAACATAAGGTCATTTTGAGGATGATTGGTTTAGGGGTTGGTGAGTTTACAAAATCCAAAGAGATTATAGCAATAAACAAATTTCATTCAGTCATATTAAGACCAATTGGATGCCATACTGAGCAAATTTATCAGGAACTTAATTTATTAGATGGATAGCTATGCCAAGATGAATGAGTACCTCCGGATAGAAGCCTCTTGGCTTACAGCTTACGTTTTAATTTGGTATGTCTAAGGCTACGCCATGATACAAGGTAATAAGTTATAATCTGAACCCGTCGACATGTCTGAATTGAGACTTTGCAGTTATTTGTCTTCGAATTTTAGTATTCAGACTATGGTTTTGTTGATAAATGTAGATTTAGATCCTGTATTAAGTAGGAGTGCAAATGACAGGAAGCCCCTTAAGCATTGGCAAAATGACGGGACCAGATAACAGAATCCAGCAACCTTATCTTCTGAAAGTGCCCATACCTCTAATTTTTCCCACCAAATTTACCAGAAAAACTAAGCAAATTAAAGCAAAGAGAACAAAAAAATTCAAAAAAATGGCAACTGCATTTCTCTCAACTGCTAACTCCTTCCTCTCCTCAACTCTCTCACCTTCCACATCTTCTTCTTCTTCTTCTTCTTCTTCTTCTTCATTAACACCAGCATTAATTTACCTCAACAACCAAAATGTCAAAAGAAGACAAACTCTTTGCAAAGCATTCAACGAATCACCATCACCCTCTCCAGCTTTAACCAAAAGAGGCTTCTCTCTCTGCTTCATCACCAGCTTAGTCTTGGCTGGTAATGGTTGCTTCGGTGCCAGTGCAGCAATTCTAGAGGCTGATGATGATGAAGAACTTTTGGAGAAAGTCAAGAAAGACAGGAAGAAAAGGCTTGAAAGACAAGGAGTGATCAGTTCATCAGACCAAGAGAAAGGTTGATTGGTGCTTTTCTTATATGTTTCCTTAAAGTAAAGAATTAGTGTGCATAATTTGAATGGACCCAAATGCTCTTTACACCATAAATTTCTGTCAGTTCCTCGTTTTCTGTGTTTTATCGAAGTTTAATGAATATTGTTTGTGTCCAAACTATTAGCCCTATCTGGAATTCTTCCTTTTGATGATATAATTACATAGTCATGTGCTTCTTTAAACTTTGCTTAGACAATTGGATTGAGCATTTCAAGATAGTGATTCCTACTGAAAAAAAAAAAATTTGTGTTGTTCTTGTGTCTAACATTTTGCTTGAGGTTTTATTTCTAAGCTTACTAGTAGCTATGTTTGATTAATTGATTATTCCCATTTCGGAGTAGCAAATGGGGTTTCAAGAACTGGACTCTAGGTAGGCTACTAACATGCCCTCTTTTAACCTTGGTGATTGGACATAAGCTTGGAAAATGGTCCTTGTGTGTTGTCTTGGGTTGCACTTTACGATAAGGACATCTTTGAAAGCATGACTGTAGATTAAGCAGACTGGTGGAGGAGTTGAGGAGCCAATGCCTGAGATTTTAAGACTTAATTGACCTGAACTAGGCTGAGATTGAAGTTGTGATAGGCAAGTGCCATTTATCTTAAAACAGCTATCAAGAAGCAACAGGATGATGATATCTTCATAACCTCCGATACATTCACCAGTGTTTTCTTCCTTCTTACTATCACAAAATGAATAAATGATGGCTACTGATATAAGAGATGTAGCGTATAACGTTTTCCATGCCATTTTCTGAAGCTCAGCAGCAAATATTCTTGTCTGCAGTGCTGCCTCTAACATTATGCATTGAAATGGAATGTTGCAGGATATTTGCAGGATCTGGTATACAAGTTAAGCAAAATAGGTCAAGCCATAGACAACAATGATCTGCCTGCAGCCAGCTCAGTACTTAGGGGAAGCACTGATATAGATTGGGTCAAGAATGCCAATAAAGCCTTCAACAAGGTCACTCTTGATGATAATATATCTTCACACAATTGTCTATAAATTAATTTTGGGCAATCTTATACCCCTGCAGAAAGCCCCACTTACAGAAAACATTTTAAAGATCTTGGATTTCGGATTGTAACTTTGCAAAATTTTTAATTTTGCTGTCATACTAGCATCTGACTTCTGCAATACGGGTTTTCATGGAGGAGCATATTACATTCTCATGTAGTGACTTGTGTTACAAAAATGTCTTAAGCATTTTTCTGTTTGCTTTCTTCACAGCTGAGCTCTAGTCCTGAAGAAAAGACTCAGGTGGATACGTTTAATGCTTCATTAGCTTCACTGATCTCATCAGGTGGGTTACTCTTGCAAGTAAAATTTGATATTCCAACACTAAATTGTATGTTAGATATGTGTCGCATTTCTGTACTGCACGGTTGGCGATCATCCAGGTGACAGAATGACAGAAAACAGTAGTTTACTTAAGGATCATAACTTACGTATGAGTCCAATGTTTTGATTATGTCCTTCTCTTGTTTGCATTGCACTTTGCAGTTACAAAAAATGATGTTGAATCATCCAAAGTAGCATTTGTGCAATCGGCAAGTGCATTTGAGAAATGGACGAACTTGACAGGGCTCTTTGGACAACTTAAAGGTCTTTGAGGAAAAGGATGATGGATTTTCCTTTTCTTCTTTTTAGCATCTGTTGGGAAAAAGTACAATTAAGGTTTCATTTATCCTCCATTTGGGGAATTTTACTGAAATCCTCTATTAGCTTTTCTTTTCATTTTCACTATTCATCTGGGTCCAAAAGTTGAGATCAACAGACTGTTTCTTTCGTAAGAGCTGTAATTCCTTGCTCAATTTGTTTGAGCTTCGGTTTTTTGTAAGATTTTCTCAATAAGCGCCACAAATTCTGATGCAATCGGCTGCCAGGGATCTTCTTTTATCAATATACTAACCAGTTAGTTTGAAGGAGTGCAAGAGTTAAGAAACCTGCGGCTTTATTCAATAATCTCACAGAATCAGGATTCTTATCGTGCAAATAATTGTGACTAGGTTCTGTGGGCAGAGGCTATTTAGGGTTCAAGACTAGATGATAATTTCTGCTTGTTATCTCCCTACAAGACGGGTTTGCAGAGTTTGTTCAACAGTTTTGCCTCTCGTTTCGGTTGTAATGGACGTTGAGACAATTAGACTCCACACGGTCCCTAATGGCTGTTGGGCATTTCATGGTCCCTTTCCCAACTTCACACGTGGGGGAGAGAGAGAAAAGCACCAATCCAGGAAAAGTACACATTGTGGACGAATGCTTACCTTGTGTTGTTTCCACAGAATCTACAGCTTCCCATGAAAAGTTACCAAATTAATCAAGAAAATAATAAAAGCAACATATCAGAAGAGCATTAGGAGTTTCATCCACTATTGTAACTTATTACTTAACACTGCATATTACATTCATTTGCAGTATTAGATGCCATAATGTTACATAGATTACTGCAAGCTACAGGTCTGACCAATACATTTGAAGCAGCTATATTATAAAGCTATCTACCTTTATATAGAAAGATGTCTCAATGAACAATCAGTTACTATAACATCAAAGCTACAGTCATTTGAAGGAGCCCCAAAAATCTAAAAGGGTCACAAAGAGGTGAGAGAGAAGCCAGCATCAAGTTAATCTATTGCATATATATGGTAACTCAAGGCTTGATCTCGCCTGCATTACTTCCATTACTACCATTCTGAATTGCTTCTTCTGCTTTCTTGTTAATTTCATTGACACCTGAAGTATTTTGCCCCTCATTGCAATTTGCTGATTCTTTCTCCTTGATTGCTCCTTCAGATTCAGTAGCGCTAATATCATGTTCCCCTTTTTCTTCTACTTCCACCTTATTTTTTATTTCCCCAGTAATTCCTATGTCTGGTTTTTCCTGCCCCCAGATCGAAGCCCTTTCTCTGCTTCACCACTGGTTGTTCAACCTCCCTGAACGTTGTACCCTCTGAACCTACTTTTTCCTTTTCAGCAACTCCAGAAGCATAAGCTTCAACTCCATCCTGGGGGTCCTCCAACTTTTTAGATGCTGCTTCAGCACTTTCCTTACCATCTTCAACATTAGTAGATACATTAGCATCTTCTCCAGGTTTCACTTCTTGAGGAGTGGATTCAGTTTTGCCATCACCATCTTGTGTTTTATTTTTATTCTCATTTTCATTTTCCTGCACAGCAACGTTTCCTGCCTCTCCCTCCACATTATCTTTCTCAGATTTTTCAGCCTCTTGCATATGATCGTCTTTGTTATCCTTCTTTGAAGCTGATGATTTTCTGCCACGTTTTTTTGGAGGTTCACTTTCTGGTGTTGGCATTGCTTTTACCTTCTCACTAATCCTTGCTGATCTCCTTGGGGTCTCGCCAGTGCCCCAATCAAATACTGATACTGTTGGACCACCAGGGTGTGCTTTAAGGTACTGTTCCAATTGTTTTCTGTTGCTGATTTCCTCTCCTGTGGGAGCAGTGAATAGGATCTCATTTTTCTTAGGAGTCCCCCCTTTCTTAGGCATGAACTGCAACAAAAAGAAACCCTGAAATTGCACTGGCTTTTTGATAGGGAAACATATATAATGATATAAATTCAATATCAAGAAATTCAAGACCAAAATATCTTATATGAAGGTCTCCAGCTATATAAATGCCTACAGCAAATGTAAGCTAAAATTGAATTCAAATGTTGAGTTTGGGCACATCATAGTCAATCAAATTTGACGTTCCAACATATGAAACAGGCATGCCGGTGAACTTAAACAAAGAAAATTTTTTGACAGAACTACCCTACCACAGCAGAAAAGCATCATGTAAACTAAAACAAAACCTAGAAAATTCATCTACTAAAGAAACATGCAAAAATCTATGGCATGTTGATGACCAGGCATCTAATGCAAGAAAGTTATGCAGAAAAGCACAGCATAAATCATAATCTTTCTTGGCCTAAAGAAAATCATAATTTCTTCACAAACCACACAATACACATAATGCTAGTACCACACCAAACTAAAAAGACTAATCTACTGGAAGGCAACTTAAACATGCTGTTTAAATTTCCTTTTAATTTATCGGATGGCAGTCGAGAAGTGAGACCCAACAACATGCTTGAATATTTTCCATTTCGCCCAATCTTTGTCAGGATGCGGAACAGAAGCCATTATCCCCACTCTGTGGCATCCATACCTAACCCCACCCAGTTAATAAGGTTAAAAAAGAAAAATAAAAGAAAGTACACGAGACCAGAAGCAGTGAAAGACCTAGATGAGTCAAAATGGCATGACAAAACTTGTGTTGTCAACTCCAAAAATATAGACAGGTGTTATTAATTTGGGGGGCATAAAAACACAAATCCTAACTGGTTGGTAAACTAATTAAACTTGTTTGAAGGACCTTTAAGATGCACAGCCCAGAAACATTTGTAATTGCCCAGTTCTGTAACTTGATAATAGTACCATTGAATCACAAAAAAACGAATGCAGGTTCAAAAAAGTTAACTGCACCTTCGCTAAAGGACCCAATTAGTTTATACAAGTAAAAACATGATTATAATTTCCAATCGAGTAAGATAGACAACAAGGCATGACAGTGTCGACCGTGATCAATCATCAAGACTCAAGATAAAACAATCCTAGTGGCATGGCAGTGAAGACCATTATCACTTGTCAAGACTCAAGATAAAACAATCCAACTGATACTCCATTTCTAATACATGGGTGATAAATTTATTCCATGGAAGAAAAACCCTGGGAAAGATATGACTCATTTCCAAAAACAGAACCACAATTTTCAGGCTGTATCAGTTAAAGCATAGGTTTGCCACTAGTAGGCACTGCCTACCAAAAGTATATGTAACTAACATACCGTTGTAGATCCATGCATCAGCAGTTTGCAGAAATCAGATGAAAATATTGTAGCCTTAGCTGATCTTGTAAAAGGGTAACAAACATAAACACCAAAAAAATACCTTCTGGGCACTCCCCAATGTTTTTGGTCCCAAGAGTATACAGCACTTTTTTCTTATAGTATTTTAAGAATAACATAAAAACCAATTAAAATTAAAAAAAAAAAGAAGCATAAAAAACTTCGCATAAGGAAAAAAGCAATAAGCTCATTTCTAAAGAGGAACTTTGAAGTTCCACCAAAATCACCTTCTCACTCGAAAACAGTGTTTCACATGAGGGAAAGTAAGAAATTATTTGGGCAAGCGTATCCATCCTACATATTGTTAAGCAAGGTTCATTCTCTTCATAAAAGATCTACAGAAGCCCAACATGAATAAATAAAATTAAAGATGGCAAACCAAAATGTGTCAGTATGCCAATTAATTGAAGCAGCATGAACTTTATACACCATCCAAAGCTTTGTGATCCTGGAAGGGCACCAAAATTGTTATAGTATCAAGGTATCCAAATTGATACCAGAGAAAGCTCCATAGTCCATACATGACCAGGAAAAGTTCTAGAGGGTACTTGCACAGAAATGGTTCAGAGAGAACATAAGTACAACTACATTCAGCGGGACCTAAAAAGATTAGGTAACTCTTAAAAAAATTACAGTCCTGAGAGAGCTTAAGGATACCAGCCACAAGAAGTAACAGCCATATGTATAGAGACCATTGTGAACTTGAGCAAAGAAATTGTACACACAAATAGGCGGAATAACACTACGCCCTCCATTAGTTTAGATCAAAATGCATACAATCAAACTTAAGTAAATTTGTCAAACACAACAAATGAACACTGAATCTTATATAAATTTTAAAATATGGCAGAACAACTTCAAAACAATGTGTAATCGACCAGCATTCTTCCTCATTATTTCAACGCTATAGCAGTTATCATAGCATTTCTCAATTGAACACTACGTATTCCAACTACTAGTACTAGAATTTCAACACTATAGTAGTTATCAGAGCATTTCTCAATTGAACGTTACGTATTCCAACTACTAGTACTAGAATTTCAAATGGGACACCCCACTTTTGCCTATTTCTCCCTGAAAATTATTTTAAAACAGAAAACCCGAAATTCCAGAGAAAGGCCATCTACAGAACCCTAGCTATTGCTTTGCTTCCCACAAATTGGGAAACCCAGAAATCTTCACAAAATAACCCAAAATCGAAAAACTACTCATAATTCACCATAAATGCTAGAACCACAAAACAAAAAATTAAAAATCGTCATTAGTTCCCAAAATTCTACCTCTAATTCCCAAATTAAAAAAATCAAGACCAAACGAAACCACGAGCAATACACTCTAATTAACAGAATTTAACCACTCAAACCAAAAATAGATACAATTATTAGAAGCCATGTTAAATTTGAGGCAATTAAAATCTAAAAAAAGAAGAAGAACCTTTTTCTTCCAACCAGGAGGAGCAGGGAGTTCTAAGCAAACAACATCCTCTTTGGCACCCTCTGTTTCCTTCTTCTCCACTGAGCTCGCCATTTCCACCTACCAATTCCCCACACAAATTTTATCAAGAATTGTTTTTTATTTATTAATTTATATACCAAAACGAAGTATGCTAGAGAGAGAAAGAAAATGCTGAGCTCACCCGTTTTCCCTCTCTAGAAAGTTGAAAATATTATTTGACAAAAAAAAAAGGGTTTATCTGTTGAAAAATTTTGGATTTTCGTACAGAAATGGTGATGTGACAAATAGGACAAAACCAAATAGCAGATGATAGACACGATTCTTTCGCCTTTTCTTCATTTATTATTTTTTTACTGTTTTATCTATCTCCCAAGGAAACGCCTTGGATAGGGGAAGAGTTTTCCGTGCTCCCGATGAGTATTCTTCAAACGTGACGGTCTTTTCTCTTTCTGACTCCTGTCCTCCTCCTAATTAGTGTTCTAATAATTTTCAAAAAAGGTTAACTTAAATAATGTCTTCTTATATTCTTTTCTTGATATTTTTCGATGAACCTTTTAATATTCATTTCATATTTTCCAACCAAAAATAAAAATTTTGTTTGAAATAATTGATGTGACAAAATCAAATTAATTTAAAATTCATAGCATGTTAACTTTTAAAATATATGATTTACTTTTAGTAGTACATAGTTATTATTATCATACAATACACGATACGTATCATACGATACGATATTAATAAAAAATAATATGTAATTATAATTAGATCATATTTGATCAAGTATCAAAGTGTGTATCGTACACGATACGTATCTTACGATATGAAAGGCATATCATATAATATACTGGATGTATTTTTTATAAATTTATATTTAATTATTATTAAAAATTTTAATTTTTTGTTTTTTTAATTGAAACATGAAAAATTATATTTTATGAGTTTCAATTTTTAGATTTTAAACAAAAAAATTACATTCCCTTTTAATTTAAACATGATAAATGTTTTTAATTTTTAATTAATAAATTAATATGATAAATGTACATTTTATTTAAAAATCATTATTATTAAAGAATATGTTGAAAGTTCAAATTAAAAAAAAAGAATTATCTTTCCAATTTAGGTCCTATAATCTTCATTTTTGTTAAAAAATATAATTTTTTTATTTTTTATTTTACATATATAAATATTATTTATAATTAATTTTAAAAAATTTTATCATTTTTTTGATAGATGCTTGATATTTAAAATAAGATTTTGATACCTAATAAATTTCTCAATTTAACAACTATAATTGAAGATATTGAATAAAAATCAAACTTGCAGATTTTATTTAATTTCACCTTAATTCAAGTTAATTCATTTCAAGTCCATTAATAATTAAAATGGATGCTTTGTCTTAAAATCCAAACACTATTAACATAAGTTAGAAAATGACTAAACTATCTATGAGACAAAAAACACCAAAACCATTCTTAGGTCGAATTTCTAATCATCCTCATCATCTTTTCCCGTCTCTTCCCTTTACAATAACAAAACACCTGTTTCATGAGAAAATTACACCGAAACAATGACCTCAAATTCCCTTCGAAAATAACAACACCTTACCTTCTGATTTGAGGCTTAGACAAAAGAAGAAATGGAAAAAAAAAAAAGAAAAACTAAGAATTGCAGAGAAAAATAAAAAGCATAATGTTTGAAAAAAATTACTAAATAATTTTAAAAAATTTAAATAAATTTTTATTTTTGGGTGAAATACCCCAACTTTTTAAGTTTTAATCAAAATTATACAGAAGTTCATTAGTTTTCAAAATAAATATTCTACCCCAAACGTCTAAACGGTGTTAATGTTAAATATGAAATTTCTAAAATGTTTGCTTTCATTTTTCCATTGTTTTTTTACTCTCACACTAGCCCACGGTGTCCCTTACACTAACTGACCACCCAGCACTCTCCTAGAGAGTATTAGATCAATGCACCCTTAGGGAGCCCTAAATTGGGCTCCCCAAAAGAAGCACCAAAACTAGAGCTTTTTTAAAAAAATTAATAAAAAATTGATAAAATTATATAATAGTAATTTTTAAAATTAATAAAAGGTAAAATTATCTTTTTAATATTGTCACATTATCAAATTGATGGAAACATTAACAATTGAAAGTATGTGTTCAACGAAAGATTTTTTTTTAAAACGGGATGTTCATTTCGAAAACTAATAGACTTGTTTGAAATTTCAATTAAACCTTAAAGAGATGGGGGTATTTTACCATGTATTTTTTTATTATGCTCAATTAAGTCATGTATTCTATTCTAAATCAAATATGTACATATAATTAATGGTTAACTAATTGTCATTTGTCAAAATGTTATTTGTCATTTTTATACTCACATGGCGATAACGTATAGGATAAAAATGTCACATGACCTTGTCATCATGTCATATCAATGTACCATGTCATTATTCATTATGACATGTCGACATCACGTAATATAAAATGATAAATTATATTTTGACTAATAATAATTAGTCAATCATTAGTTGTAGAAGCCTATTTGATTTAAAATAAAAATATAAAAACTTAAATGAACACAATAAAAGAATAAGGACATATTAAAATTTTTTAAATAGTTCAAAATTTTTTTAAAGGATTATGCTAAAATAAAAAATAGAAAATTCTTTCTTTCGTTTCTTTGTTTTCCTTTTTAAAATCTTTTAAGCAAAAAATTCATTTTACATGTCTAATTTTTGAAAAGTAATGTTTGCCCTTCACCACCATTTTGTTCCTAAAAATGGAAAAGCGAGTTGTAGGACAAGCTCTTTAATTTGATGCTTGTTGAACCCAAACTCAAACATCTTTGCAAATCTCTCCATACAATCATAAACAGAAAGTCATCCATGAATTGGTCAAGGAAATTACTTTTCAAATTTTTTGTTCAAATTTGATGGGTTTTGCTCAATTTCATAAAATTTTCAAAAATTGTGAATCTTTATCATGATTCGAAATTGAATGAATTGAGTTTGTTTCGTATTTATACAAAATAGTCTACTAATTGTCGCGAGTAAGGTTGTTTTATTTGCAATAAGTATATTGTCGACAAAATACCATTTTATGCCTTCAATAAACTCAAGTATGCAAAAATAGAAACAAAACAATTGCCTATTGCCTATTTTCCTTTTTTTTTTTGGATTTTATTCTTTCTAAGTTTGAAAGTAGGATTTAAAGGTAAGCATTTTTGTTTGGAAAGAATTAGCAACAGATTTCTTTCCCTTAACCCCCTTGCCCCCCCCCCCCCCTTTTTTTTTTTTTATCTTGGGTTTACTTACTATAAAAAGGTTGTTGAAATGCAACAAAAGTTATAAGGTTAGTGTCACAGTCCACATCAACCTACAAAGTATTATCTATTTTGACCAATTAGCTTCCCATAAAAGGGACCTCTTAAATTGAAAATGGTGTGAACTGTTAGAAAAATAGTAAAAGAAAAGAGGAGAAAGGCTTGAGATGTGCTGTAACACACTGTCTTTAAAAAGTTATTGCTTACTATGGGGATTTGTAGATAAAGACTTTCAAGGATACAACAAGCTTTTTACAAAATGCTTTTTGAAAGATGAAGTCTGTCTTAAAAGTACGTTCCTTCTATAGACACCGAAAAATTATGTCTATTGTTTTTTCAACAAGATGTGTCTATTGATATATCTGTTATATTTCAATAGACGTGTCTACTAAACAATTTTTGATAATTGCGTTGGTTGCAAACACTTTTATTATTTTAAGAGTTATATTTAATCTTAAATAGTCACATATGAACAAGACTTTTAATATTACAAACTATTTAACAATCTCCCACTAATTTATAATATTAATAATATTATGTATGATAGAAAGTATTTTGAAGATTGAACTTTCTACTAGTATAGAAATTTTAAAGTCAAGACGAAGTTATTGATATCACAAGGATTGAACAGCAATTCTTTATGTCATAACCAAAAATATCACACACATAACATTATTTAACCGCTCTAAGACTTTGCCAACTGCTATAGCACTCATATAGCCTCGTGCTAATCCTGATTTCATTAATATTTACAAAAGGAAGCCTTTTTAACTCTTGTTTGAAGTGACACTACTTCAATATTCATATAGGTGGAATTTTCATTATGCCCCTATTACTACAAGTATTTAACATTTTCATTAAGAGCCTTTTGCTCATCCTTTCCTTAAAACAATCGTACTGAATATTCTAGAATGAAACTATTTAATATTAAAATTCAGTGCATAATAACAACACATAGTAACTTGTTATTACCCATTAAACTTTTATTATTCGTTTTGCTAACTCAAAGTTGGGTTTCCATGATTAACACCTTTAAGTCAAGGGTTTTAGCCTCACTCCACTAAATATTGATTTTACAGCCTCTCTTGACAAAGCTTTGGTAAGTCGACCACCTCAATTTTTGCAAGATTTAATATAAACTATTGTTACAACACCGTTCAAGATTAATTCTCTTATGTAGGTATGTCACAAACTTATGTGTTTAGACTTTCCATTATAAATCTTATTGTAGACTACACATATTGTAGCCTCACCATCATAATATACGAAAATGGTTGGTTTCAATTATGGACACAACTTTATAACTAATAACAAATTTCTCAATCATACTTCTTCCTTTCCAGTTAGCTGCTAATGCTAAAAATTCTGATTCCATTGTGGAATGTGTAATATAAGACATAAACTACTGTTACAACACCATTCAAGATTAAGTCTCCTATGTATGCATGTTACAAACTTATCTGTTTAGACTTTCCATTATAAATCTTATTGTGAACTACACGTATTGTAACCTCAATATCACAATATACGAAAATAGCTGGTTTCGATTATGGCTATAACTTTATATCTAAAAACAAATTTCTCAAACATTCTGTTTTCTTTCTAAAACTGCTAATGCTAAAAATTGAAATTCCATTGTGAAATACGTAACACAAGTCTACTTCTTAGATGTCTAACTAATGGCACCACCTCTTAAGGTAAAAATTCATCCTAATATGGATTTATTGTCATCATTACTAGTTATTCAACAAGTATCAGAAAATCCTTTTAAAGTTTTAGGAAAAGCATTGTAACAAATTTCTAAATTTTTTGTTTTCTTTAAATATCTAAGTAGTCTAGTAATAACCT